CAAACAGGTCTTTCATTTCTTTGGTTAATGTTACCCCAAGATATTTTATGCTTTTTTGTCTATTCTGGATGGTGGTGCTTTTATTATTTTTTTCAGTTTATCATTTGTATATAGGAGGGCTACTTATTTTTTTTTTTAGTTGATCTTGTATCCTGTCACATTACTGAATGTGTTTATCAGCTGTAGGAGTTCCCTGGTAGAATTCCTGGGGTCACTTTTGTATACTATCATATCATCTGCAAATGGCAAAAGTTTGACTCCTTCCTTTCCAATTTATATTCTCTTGATCTCCTTTTGTTGGCTTATTGCTTTAGCTAGAACTTCAAGAACTATGTTGAATAGCTATGGAGAGAGTGGGCATCCTTTTCTTGTTCCTGATTTTAGTGGAATCACTTTGAGTTTCTCTCCATTTAATTTAATGCTGACTATCGGCTTGCTTTATATTGCTTTTATTATGTTTATATATGTTTCTTGTACCCCTGGAGATCATCCTATTTTTAATGCGTTTTTGGCTGTGCACCATGTGGACATTTTCCCAGGATTGCTCATGAGTAGGACTAGAAACATTTTATATTACTTGTTTGTCTCTCAAGTTGCTACACTTACTTAGTATAAAACTTATGGAGCAAATTAACACTTTTTTTCTCAGTTATTTTAAATGTCATTATTTCTAATCATTTAATTCACAGTCAGGTCAGCTAAGCAAATTCACCAGTTCTTTCCGTTCTATGGTTCCATGCTCCTGTCATAGACTGAACTGGGAAAGGGACTTTCAGAATGGCGACTGACCCTTCTTGGTCCAAGAACAGAAATGCCCAGGTAGAACGAATGCAGGTTCTGGCAGGGAACAGAAAAGTCAATGTTGTCTATAGATCAGGATGATTCTTGCTATCATTTTGTCCCCTAAATCAAAATGATTCACTAATAGTATGCCCCTCCATATTTCCAGCATGTGTCTCCTCCCAGTAAAGTCACCACTGAACACCCCCAAAAAACCTCACTTTGATCCACAAGCTGCAAGAAAAGTTGCTCAGTTGTGAATTTGTTAGGCTATATATTCTTGTAGCAAGTGTGGGTTTTCTTTCTCAAAACTCCTATGGCCTCATTGGGGTAATTTTTTAAAAATGACATCTGCTTGTTTTCCTAGTTACCCCTTGACTAAGGTATAGCAAGTTGAATAGGTAGAAAGTCTACTTTGTCAAATAAGAGCTTTTAAAAATAGAATCAGCCCCAATTTTCTACATTTATCTGTTAAAAGAGTCTACTGAGTATCATAAATTGCCCTCAAATTCATGAACCACAAAATACCAAACGCACACAGATACAGATGCACTGCCATGCTATTGGTGTGTGTGTGCACATGTGCACACGCACACACACGCATGCACATGCACAAGCATGCATCCATGGCAGTGTATATGTATCTGTATGCATTTGGTATTTTGTGGTTCATGAATTTGGGGGCAGTTTATGATACTCAGTAGATTTTGGGATAATTCTGCGTCTCCTATTTTAAATGATTTTTATTTCTTCCCCTGACTGGTGTTATTTGCTGTAGTGGTTTGAATAAGAATGGCCCCCATAAGCTTATATATTTGGAACCGTAAGCCCCAAATAAACTCTTCCTTCTATAAATTGCCTTGGTCATGGTGTGTTATCATAGCTATAGAAAAGCAACTAAGTCATTTGTCAAGTAAACAGGTAGGTTTAAATATGATTGTCCCCCCCCCACACACACACAAGCACTCAAGTTACTTTTCTAAATGAGAACTAGACAATGTGTGATCAAGCAACTATGGGGCAAGGTAGAAGGCACCTCGGTAATGCACAAAGGGAAAAATCACTTTGTAAATTACTGACGTTTGTATGTCTGAATGACCTCAGAATAGGAAAGGAAGCTTGTGAGTTTTCCCCTCGATTCATTGATAACTACTACAGAAGTTACAGCTCCCACAACCACCCTAAGAGCCTAGAAACTGAAGGAAATTCTCTCTCATTGATTACAAAGAGAGAAGCGACTTTCAAACCAGCCAGCTCTACAGCATAAAAGTGGTAATTTTGCTGGTGCAAATTCAAATATATTTTGGTTATTTAATCTTAGAAAGTGGGTCTTAAAAAATAGAGGATGTATTTTCAATAGCTCCCTAGTTAATTATAGTAGAAAAACTGCTCTCTCTCTCTCTCTCTCTCTCTCTATCTCTCTCTCTCTCTCTCTCTCTCTCACACACACACACACACACACACACACACACTAATTATTACTGATTGACAAATATCTCCCAGTGCGAAGTTGGGAGGAAGTATATATATTTTATATCTGTTTAAATGAAGTATAAAGCAAATTTCAGACACTCAAAAATTAATACCTGGGAAAAGTAGGAATTTTGAGTGAAATTAGGAAACAGGCCAAGGTTTGGGATCATAACAGAATGAAGGCTTGCGAGAGCTAGCAGTAAAATGGGCAGGTGCGGTCGGTCCTGCAGACTCATGGTGTGGTCTTTTGCTGTCAAGCGTGCTTCCTGGGAAATGATCCTGCTGGCAGTATGAAACAAAGAGAATCGAGAGAGCTCAGCAGAAAAGCAAGAGAATGTGACAAAAGTGTGCATTTGTGTGAACCACCACCAGCAGCAGGCGGCTCTAATTCCAGTTAGATTATTGTCTCTGAAGGAGCTAGACCAGCACGCGTGGATTGGTCTCAGCTCATTTTGCATCAATAGTTGCAGTTGTTGTAATTCACTTTGCCAACTTCATTCCATGATATCCTCATGATAAAACCAGCAAAGTTAAAATTGTGTATTTCACAAATGAAGCCTCAAGAGCTATAGCCAAGGCCTCGCACATGGTGGACACTGAAACTGACATCTGATCCCAGACCTGCCTCCAAATCCTAATAGTTTATCATTATATAATGTGTAGATCCAGGTAGAGATGGCAGCAATTGACATAGTGTAGAAATCTGAAAATTATTTTTTTTAATTTAAAATTATAGTTCTTTATGCTTTTGAGGCAGGATCTTAAGTAGCCTAGGCTGGCCATGAATTTACCATGTAGCTGAGGCTGCCCTTGAATTCCCATCCTCCTGTTTACATCTCCCGAGTATTGGGATTACTGACTTGTGCTACTGGCAAGCCTGGGTTCTGGAATCTTACGCCGGATGCCAGCAAGCTTCTTCACTGAGTAGCAAGAGAACTAAAGTAGAATCAATTTTCCCTTTCCTCGCTCTTCCTTTCCCTCCCTTCCTCCTTTCCTCCCTTCTGCTTCCTTTTCTTGCTCCTTCCCCTTCTTTTTCTTTTCTTTTTAATGGACTCACAATGGTAATGGCATAGAATCAGAAGACATATAGTGTAAAACTGTCTCAGACTGGGTAAAAAAAAAAAAGAAAATATTCTTATTGTTTTATGATCCCATTTAGAGGGAACATTTTATTTATAGCTTTCCTCCCAAATACACATTAAGGTGATATTGAGCTCTTGGTAAAATTATATCATACATCTATGCTGACAGCTTGCTTCCTGCACACAAATCTTTATCTGCTACTTTCGGCTTTCAATATTTCCTCCAAAGAAGTGAGTTGGGACATTAAAGGGTCCAGAAAGAAACATGAAACAGATGGAACCCAGGTTTTTGTGTGAAGTGGGGGTCACACTGAAGTAATGGAAAACCAGCCAGAGGGAGATGTGAGAGGAAAATCCATGGAGCACACACAAGGAGGAATCTTCCTAGCCTAGAACTTTAGGAGTTTACAAAACACTTAGTGTATCCTCCAGATGGTCCTTGAAGTTGGGTGTTCTTAAATACGGTATAGGAGAATGGTCCTCAGCGCCTCCTGCAGGCTTCGGACAAATACTTTTGACCATTTAACAGTGCTGACTTTTGTGACTCTAGTGTTTGGTTTCTTTCACTTTTTTTTAATAGTATTTAAAATTAGTTTTAATTTGCAGTTTTCCAGTGGTAAGATATGATTATGTTGAATACTTTTTGTTCGTTTGCTTATTTTTCAAGACAAGGGTTTCTGTGTGTAAACAAGCCTAGATGTCCTGGAAATCACTTTGTGGACCAGGTTGGCCTGTAACTCACAGAGATCCTGCCTACCTCTGCCTCCCAAGTACTGGGAGACATGTGCCACTATGCCTGGCTAAATGTTGAACACATTGAAAAATATTTTATTAGCCAATTGTGTTTCTTTTGACAACTGTCAATTCATTTTAGTAGCACATTTATTGATTCATGTTTTTTAATTGGTGTTTATTATTATTTTTTTTAGTTTTTCTTTTTAATTCTGGATAGTAGCCCCTTGTCTGAAAACAGAACTGGTACATGTTTTCTCCCATTATGTGAACAGTTTTACTCTGTGGGTATAATTTCCTTTTTTTTTATAAAAGTTTATTAATTTATAAAAGTTTCCATTTCCGCCCCTCCTCCCAACACCCTCCCACACCCCCCACTCCCTCTCCTCCTCCCTCTCCATCCCTAAGAGCAGTCAGGAACTGTGGAACTTGAACTGTGGGAAGTTCAAGTTCCTCCCGCCTCCCTCCGGGTCCAGGAAGGTGAGTATCCAAACAGACTGGATCCCAAAAATCCAGTATATGCAGAGGAAACAAGTCCCAGTGTCATTGTCAATGGCTTTTCAGAAAGACCCCAGGCCAGCCACATTCAGAGAATCCGGCCACATTCGGAGAATCTGGTTGGATCACGTGCTCATTCAGTCCCAATCCAACTGGCCTTGGTGAACTCTCATTAGATCAGTCCCCTTGTATCAGTGGGTGAACGCACTCCTCACGGTCCTGCCTTTCTTGTTGATGTTCTCCCTCCTTCTACTCCTCATTTAGACCTTGGGGGCTCAGTCCAGTGCTCCAATGTGGGTCTCTGTCTCAATCTCCATCCATCAATGGGTGAAGGTTCCCTCTGGTCTTGCCTTCTTTGTTCACGTTCTCTTTCCTTCTGCTTCTCGTTTGGACCTAGGGAGTTAAGTCCAGTGTTCCAATGTGGGTCTCTGTCTCTATCTCCATCCATCGCCAGATGAAGGTTCCCTCCGATGGCTGTCTGCTAGAAGTCAGTGCCCCTTGCTGGTCAGGAATGTCGCTGAGCTGACACAGCTTCTTTCACTTTCTTCACTGGCATTCTGACCACGGGTAAGACCCCTGAGATCTACAGCAAGGCATTGGCTCTTGGCGGTGACTGTAGACAAATCCTTGAGGCAGAGAGGAAGCAGGTTTAGAGGGCTGGGTTGAGCTGACGTTGGGGAACAAGAATACTGAAGTTTTGAGGCTCAGAAGAGGCTAGGCCCAAACGGAGGCTGATAGTTGAGGAGGCCTAACTCAAAGGCAGTGTTTGACAGCAAAACCCCCCATTTCTGTGCTACCCAAGAAGGAAGCTGGGGATGTGAGTCTGCAGTTTAACGGGGTTTGTAGGGTGGGCACCACCAGTCATGGCAGTTTGACCACCTAGATCTGTGTTTCCCTGTTTGTTTTTTCTCCTAACGGGATCGCACCTGTCAGCGTCTCAGTATCCCTGAGCTCCCCTGGTTAGCAATGAGGAAACTCCAGCACTCTTCCCTATCTTCGCCCTCCCTCTTTCCTTTACAGGGGAGTTTGTCAAAATTCTGTATCCACTCGCTCCGTTTCCTCACACTCCACTAGCTCCCTTAGAGACCCATTTTCATTTTGACCTTTGCTCCTTCTCTCTAACAATACAGCTCTTGTTGAATCACCTGTGACCACCGTGCTTCTAAATCCAGCAGACAATTTCCAGGTCTTGTCTCAGTTGACAGACAGGGCATTAACACCCCCCCCCTCCCAAGGCTGTTTGACCATTGATCATCTTTTCTCTCTTAAAGTTTTCTCTTGGCCTCCTTATCTCCTCACTCTCCGTTCTTTGGTTTTTATCTGTCTTTCCAGCTGTTCTCATTCATTCTCTTTGCCATCAGAATTTGTTTATTTAAGGTAATGTAGGAGCCCTCTTTCCCACCTTTCTCTTGTGCAGGGCATCTCAATGGGAGGGCTGCCATCTGGATTTGCCTCTGCTCTCCTCACTGCTCAGAATGTAAGGGTACAGATTTACAGGTTGCTTTCTTGTTTCTGTTTAGCCCCAGCAGATCCTTGCAGACCAGCATGCCCTGGCGGTTGGTACTTGGAAGAACTAAAATGGCAACTAAAATGCCTGCTGGCCTGAGGGAACTTCCAAGGAGGCCGGCATGTCTCCCATCTACCCTGGTGTTGGGGCTTGAACTCTGGACCCTGCCCTGGACTGAACAGTATTCTTCCACTAAGCAATACTAAACATATACAAACAGGTCTAAACATACATGTCATAATAATACTCTTGCTATTTTTCTTTATTTCTTTTAAAACTTAAGTTTTTAAATCAAACTTAAAAAAATGTAAAATCCCCCATATTTAGCATTCTATTGCAAATTAACCAAAATTTAAACTATCTTATTCTTAGTAACTAGGATTTTTCAAAAAGGAGTTGTGTAGAAGTATGAGACAATTCTCCATTTTAAAGTAACATTTGCAATAAACATTACTATTATTGGTTTTCCTTGGCCTGCAGTTTCAAATAACCCTGAACAGAAACAGGTAAAGCAAAACCCTTGACCCCTGGACCTCTTGATACCAGGCAAGTTGAAATAATAAGCCCTGGCCAACAAAAGGCTTGAAGCAGGCAAGGAGAAGGAGTTAATGAAATCCTGCAATCGGATCCTAGGACCTCAGCAGACAGGGACAGCTGTTCTCTAGCCCTAATGAACCCTGCGAGATCACCTCCTGGCAAAATCCAACCCTGGTGGGTGCAGGCAAGTCCCAACACCAGGGAGGTGGCTTTGCTGGTGTAAATAACAGGGATCTGTTACCATGAGATTACCTGTCTGCAAAATACCTATTTATCTTCATTATACTGGCTTTAGAGGAAAGAGATGGGGGTGAATGTTGGCGTGTGTGACGATGGAGCCAGGGGGAGAGATGGCATCTCTGACCTCAGGTGAAATCTGCTGTAACTTAGTGAGTTTTTCTGACAGACAGATGGAGTCTGTAATGCTTAACTCCAAATACTGAGTCCTCATTAATGTTACTCGAAAACATAAGTAACAATCTCAGACAAGGATGCATTTGTATTTGGAATCACAACATCACAGTTTCCAGCTGGTAATTTCGATCTGATAATTTTAATTAAGCCATTATTATAGCCATTCTTTCACCACATTCTTGAGGGAATACTGCATGTCTGGCACTGTGCTAAACGTAGGTACCCAGTGATAACTGAAGGAGACATTGCACACGGAATCTCCAGCCAATGATGCAGTGAAGACAATGAATGAATGAATAAAAATGCTATTATATATTTAGAAAAATGTTCTGAAGAGGAAGACTATGCTACCAAAGGAAAAATAACAGGAAAACTAGAGGGAAACATAGACTTTAATCTCATCCACAAAGTGTAAAATGGAGAGAGCTATGCAAGGAAGGGTGGGAGGTAAGAATAACACACTATAATAATGAATTCCATCTTTATCTCGATTTTACTATAAAATTTAAACATAAAGTATCATGTGATTACAAAATATATAGTTAAACAAAGGGTCTACAAATAATGTAAAGTTAAAAGAACACATTTTTTTTCTCTGTCTCCATTTAAAATGTCTTTCTTGGCAGGAAGCAAGGATGATTGGCTGGTATATTGAATAATTCTCCCCTAATCATTTATCGTTTGTGGAGGAAGACAAGCATGGTCTCTGCCTTTGGGAAAACTACACAGGCTGCCTCAACATTTGCAAAGGCAGCATACAGCCAGAGCCTTCTTCAGCATCCTGATGTGCTTCCCTGTGGAGAGAGTTCACATGTGCAAAGGTCAGTGGACACCGAGTTCTTCACAGCCCGTATTCCAAAGTCACATTCCCACACCTTGTAGCAATGCCCTTAAACAGAGTTGGTAACTGTCGTTACCTTTCTGGCAGTCAATACAGCTAGTAAAATTATTTTACTACTTTTGTTTGGTGGCTAAGATCCAGGTTGGGTCATTCATAGTGCGTTGCTTCTGCACACATCTGACTGATTTTTGTAACAATGCTGAATACAGAAATAAAAAGATCCCTAAGTGGATACACGGGGCATAACGTTACTACATGATAACAAACAGATGGTCCTCCAAATATCAAATTGATAGCACTTTCTATTTTACCAGATCAAAAATGTGCTTGGAAACAATCTGGTTTTACTTTAGAAGCACAGTAAAAAGGTCAGTTACAGACTCACAGTCTTTCCCTTGAGGAGAAATCAATCCAGGGTTTACACCTAGAGACACTGAGCCCGCTCAGCCTCATGCATTCCTCACTTCGTAGGACTGTGAATTCCTGACAGTGGCAGACAGTGAATCTGGACCGCGAGAGTCCTGGGTCTCCAGGGAAGCCTAACAACAGAAGAAGGGAAACTGTGGTGGGAGACAAATGCCCTCAGCGGATGACGGAAAAGTAGCCAACACTTTTTAATTCGTTCAAAGGCCTGTGAAATACAACACGTGTAGAAAAGTGGCAAATCTGGAAGTGTGTTTAATAAGTGAAATATGACCTGTGTGACTATGAACCAAATGTAGAAATTGGTTGCCAATGCCCTACCAGCTTCCTCCTGTTTATTTCTGATTCCAGCCCCTTTCTGTCCTTCAAGGGTTTCCACTCCACCTTTACCTCACAGCCCATTTGCCATTTTCTTTTCGTTTTTATTTTTGTCACCTAATTATGTCTTTAAACACTAGAGTGTAGTTATGGCCAATTTTGAGCATTATATAAATGAATCATATGTATGCATGTTTTTGGTTCTGCCCTTCATCATTTGGCATCCTGTAACTGACCATAATATGATAGGGGAGTTCAGCCAATCACTTTCTGTTTGTGGGGCGTGTCACCCTTAGGCTAAAGCTTGCCTATAAATCTGCAAGCGCGCTCCGCTAGCTCTCTCGCCTGGCTCCTGCATCTGGATGGATCGTTTGGATTCTGGTGTAAGCTGGTGTAAGTCTTACTTCTGTTTATTAAAGCTGTATATTTTGTATTAAGATAGTCTGGGGACTTTTCATTACTAATCGCCCTGTGGCTTCAATAATAGACCATAATAGAGAGATTCATTTATTTCACAATTAGTGATCTTTCAGTTGACAGAAATGTGAGTAGTTTTCACAGTCTGGAAGTAATGTTTCTATGTGCCTTCTTTCACTGTTTACAAGAAATTTGAGTTAAGAATGGATGAAATTGATGGATCATAGGTTATGCATATATCTAATGCTACTGTACAATGCCACAGCAGTTGCCTGGATTTAGCCTCTCACAGGAGTGTGCAGGGGTTCCTTCCAGCACACCATCACCCACTCTTGCTGCTGTCGGACTCGGTACTTGGTTTGGCAACTTGATCTGAGTATAGAGTTGCAAAGGTGAATTTCTATTATTTGTCTTAGGGATCATGTAGAACATTAGTTCAATTTAATTTATGTAAACACAACAAACCAATAGAACATTGCAATATGTGAAAAGAACAAAGCATATGTTCTTTTTACATGAAAATAAATATCAGATTAAATAAGACTGTAACAATATGTTTATTTGTCTTTCAGGCGGACTCACCTTTCCAACTCTACTATTTGGTAATAAAGTGAGACTAGAAACAGTATTCATGACTATATAATCTGTACCGAGGAAGTGTGGGTAAGTGAATGGTCTGCCGAGACAACTGTTCCATGTGGCCTGATCACTTTTATTATGGATTGCTTAACTTGGATGGTTTTCATCAATCTATTTATCCCACACTGGTTTTGCCACTAGAGTTTTATGTCTGTCATGATTATCCATGCATATGTCTTAAGTTTTACTTACAATGTGGGTTATTTCTTCTTTTAGATCAATACCACACATCCATGCTGTGTTTTTAAATCTGGAGACGTAGAAGTTAGACTCCCTGAAGATGCAAACATTGATGAGAGAATCTCACTCCCTTGCGTACAGTGGTCTCACGTACAATGCCAGGTTTCAGCTGTTCTGCTTCCAACAGTCTCAAAGTGTGGATTTTCCTACAGCCTGAGCTCACCAGGTCTGAATCCTAGAACTGGCATTACTCCGACGATGGGATGCGTTTGTTTTGACAGGTTGTTCAGACTCCAGGCTGTGTTTCTGCAATCCTGATTGCTGAACTACAGGAAATTTGCTCATCCATGAACACTGGATATAGTATATTTTTCTGTCAATGAAATTTGATCCCAGAGATAAATTGAAAGTTTGCTACAGTTTATGTTGACATTTTATACTTTTTGAACTAGGTCTTTTTACTATATCCCATATTATCTATTTTGAACAAGATCTTTTTACTATATTACTATGTTATTATCACTATTTCTGTTGTATGGGAAAGTTAACGATTTTTGTAACAAAAAATATGGTGAGTGTCTAATTAAAGAAAAGCCATTTGTATAGAAGAGTGTAGAAAGCATAAATTTCTGGCTTAGCAAATTTCCACACCCCATGTAGCCCTTTAACCAGAACGTATATCGGGAAACACAAAGCCTCTGGGACCCCTACACTTCCTAAGTAACCAGTATCTTAACCAGGAAAGGAGCCTACCTATTTGAACATAGGTAAACATGTCCGATCAGCGTGGCCTCTGTCTACCTCCTCATGCTCAGCAAGATGCTCTCAGGGTTAGTTTATGATGCTGCAAATGCTTGCAATGGTCACCACTGTGTGAAATCAGCTTTTGCACATTTACCTCAGTTTGTCCATTTGACCCTCAATGGCCATATGGATAGTTTCCAGCAATGTTGTTGAGAGGGTTCATGTCATATGAACGTGTGGGCATTTCCGCTGAACTTAATTATGGATGAGGTATTTGAGTATTGAGGAATGCATAAGCTAAGGGTTTCTCTACACGGGTTGAGAATCCCTTAGCCACATTGCTCAGGACCAAAAGCACTTTTGATGTTAGATTTTTCTAAAGTTTTGAATATGTTCATATACATAGCAAGATATCTTGGGGATAGGACCCAAACTTAAGCATGGACCACTAAAGCACTTTTTAACAGTATTTTAATGTGCCTGCATTTCCTTCTATCCCTCTTTTCCGGTCTCCCTTCCTCTTATCTGCCTTTTGTTCTTTCTTCTTTCCTATTCTTTAACTGAGAGTGTGTTGCATATATGTTTGTATATGTGTCTGCATGTGAGTCTCTGTGTGTGTACAAATGCACATTTGTATGTGTCCGTGTGTATGCATGTGTGTGTGTATATGTGTCTGCATGTGAGTCTCTCTGTGTGTACAAATGCACATTTGTATGCGTCCGTGTGTATGCATGTGTGTGTGTGGGCCCAATGTTGACATCAGGAGTCTCTCATTTTTGCTCTCAGCCATATTCCTTAATTCAAGTTCTCTCAATTGAATTCAGAGCTCAGAGGTACAAATGGTTTCCCTAGCTAGTTCGCCTGAGGCCCCCTACCGTGAACACCTGGTCCTCCCACTTCTCCCTCTTGAGAGCTGGGTTTGTGTGCACTTCTGCTGTAATCTTTCACATGAAGACAGGGGTGGAATTTTCTCCACTTCTAGAATCATGTTGGTCTGCTCAAAAGTTTCATGATTTAGAGCACTTCAGATTTTGAACTTTCAGGTCAGAGATGTTCCGCCTGAGTTCTAAAGGAAGTTGGATCATTTGCCTTCCCATCAGCAGTGTATGTGAAATTTTTGAGTTGTTCCAAAGCCTGAAATTTTGGTCTGTACAAATTTGGTCTGAAAATTTGTAGCTACTCTGGTGACAAGTAATAGAATCACATGACACTTTTAAATGCATATTTCTGATTACTAAGTGTACTTTCTCATCTATTTGTTGGACATTTGGATCCAATTAGTGATTGATTTAAGAAATGGTGTCTTGTAGCCCACGCTGACCCCAATCTTGCTATGTAGCTGAGGATGATCTTGAACATTTAAAAATTGTTATTATTGTTGATGTTAATTGTTTGTGTGTGTGTGTGTGTGTGTGTGTGTCCACATACGTGCACACCACAGCATGAATATGGAGGTCAAAGAATAAGTTTTTGAAGTCAGTTCTCTCATGACCCTTGTGGGTTAGCTTCCCTAGGGATGATTGAGATCACAGGGTTGACTTACACATTACTTGCTGTGTTCTCTTCCACTCCTCATACTTGTAACATCTTGTGGTTAGACTACTCCAAGTACTGTATGTTTTTAATGGTATTTTAAATATTATCTTGAAAAAATTTTAACTGGATGGCTGGGCTATGTTCGTGTATCAGTAGGTTGTTATTTTTATTTAATTAAAAAAAATTTGAGACGCAGTCTCATTATATATCCCTGTCTGTCCTGAAACTCACTATGTAGCCCAGGCTGGTCTTCAACTCACAGAAATGCAGCTGCCTCTGTTTCTGAGTGCTGGGGTTAAAGCTGAGTGTCATCACACTTAGTCAAGATAATTTATTTTTAAATGATGCTGTCTTAGGTACTGTTCTATTTTTGTGACGAGACTAACACCATGACCAAAACAACTTCTGAAAGAAATTGTTTGATTAGGAGCTTGCAGATAGTTTTAAAGGACAAGTCTATGACTGTCATGGTGGGAAGTATGGTGATAGGCAGGCAGGCATGGCTGGGGCAGTAACTAAGAGTTTACATGCTCATCAGCAAGTTGGAGGCAAAGAGCAAGACTGGAGCTGGGCATGAGCTATTAGACCTCCAAGTCCACTACCAGTGGACATTTCCTCCAGCAAGGTCCTATTTCCCAAGCCTTCCAAAACAGCCCACCAACTGGGGATCAAACATTAAATATATGAGTCTATAGGGTGATTCTCATTCAAACCACCACAAATATTTCTGTACGTTTCTTCTACTTTATAATCTTTGTATAAATTTAATAAAATTATTCAAGAAAGTAAAAAATATTTGTAGTCTTCATGTCTTACTGCCCAGGATAGGACCTCAGAATAACACTGAACAGAAACAGTTAAGAAAGGATACTTGCTTGGTTTCTGACTGCAAAGGCAAAGTGTCCACTGTTTACTGGTAATTATATGGCTTGGTATAGTTTTGTGTTGGGGTTGGTAATATACACCATAGCTTCTTAGCAAAAAAACCTATTTTTGTTTCTGTTTTTCTGAGATATTAAAATGATAATCACCTCTCCTTATTTTGGCTTAATACTTTATTATCTGTAGTGGTATTCCTTATAGTTGCTTGCTCTCTCTTCTTCCTCCTCTTCTTTCTCTTTTTCCTACTTCTCCTTTTTAAAAAAATCTTTTATTTATTTTGTATACAATATTCTGTCTGTGTGTATGCCTGCAGGGCAGAAGAGTCCAGCAGACCCCATTACAAATGGTTGTGAGTCACCATGTGGTTGCTGGGAATTGAACCCAGGACCTTTGGAAGAGCAGGCAGTGCTCTTAACCACTGAGCCATCTCTTCATCCCCCACTACTTCTCCTTCTTATTCTCTAGTCTTTCCAGAGTTATTGATTTGGTTGAAGTCTTAGGGAGACTGCTCATTCATTTCCTGGTTGCTCAGACCCAAATAATCACACAGAAACTATATTAATTGCAAGACTGTTTGGCCAATAGCTTAGGTATACTACAAACTAGCTCTTACATCTTAAATTAAACACATTTCTTTAAATCTGTGTATCACCATGAGGCTGTGGCCTACTGGTAAGGTTCCAGCATCTTTCTCCTTTGGCAGCTACATGATATCTGCCTGACTCTGCTTTCTTTCTCCCCACATTCAGTTTAGTTTTCCTGCCTAGCTCTATTCTGCCCTGCCATATGCCAAAAGATACATATATTTATTAACCAATGGTAATAAAACATATTCACAGCATACAGAAGAGAATCCCATATCAAGTTTCTGTTGTGATAAAACCTTGACTATAAATGATTTGGAGAAAAAAATGGTTTGTCTATTCTTACATCATATAGTCTGCTAGCAAGGGAAGTCAGGGAAGGAATTCAAGGCAGGAACCTGGAAGTAGAAGCTGATACAGAAATCATGTAGGAATTCTGCTTTCTGGCATGCTTTCCATGGCTTGCCCAAATTGTGTTATAGCATCCAGGATCATCAGCCCCCAGATGGCACCACCCATGGTGATCTGAGTGCTCCTACATCAATCATCAATGGAGAAAATGCACTGAAGGCTTCCCCAAAGGTCAGTCTGGTGAGAGAATTTTCTTAATTTAGGTTGCTCTTTCTATAATGATTCTAGCTTGTTTCAAGTTGACACAAAACCAGCCAACACATCTACTTTTCCAAGAACTGGTGAGTCTCTTTGTTTATTCATTCTCTCGTACGATGCTTTCATTCTTTTGATGTCTGCTTTTCAGTCTCCCTTCTTTTTACTTTCTTTCAGTTCATTTTTCTTGCTATTCTCTTGGGTTAGACTCTTCAGTCATCCATAGTGACTAGAGTACATTTTCAGATGTAATTCTAGTTACTACAAGAACCATTTGCTTATCAAAAGCTTCCTTTTGTATAAGTAATTGAGCCAGTGAAAGTTATTTCTGCTTTTCCTTAAGTTGGGGGTCTCTTTGGAAAGTAGCTATTTATTTTGTTTTATTACTCATTTTTTCATTTTTCTGTTCTTTTTTATTAATTGGCTAGTTTCCAGCCTGATCACTGTTTCGCCTTCCTCCTTTCCTCCCAGTTCCTCCCACCAATCTCTTTCCTCTCTTCCCCCCACCCCAACAACTTCTCCTTTCTCTTCAGAAAATGGCAGGCATCCCATGTGTATTCATCAACCATGGCATATCAAGTTACAGTAAGACTAGACACCTCGTCTCCTGTTGAGGCTGAACAAGGCAATCCAGTATGAGAAGTAGGGTCCCCAGAGCAGGTAACAGAGTCAGAAACAGCCCCTATGCCCATTGTTAGGAGTCCCACAAGATGACCAAGCTAACAACTGTAGTATGTGCAGAGGGGCTAAATAAGTCTCATGCAAGAACTCTGGTTAGTGGTTCCATTTCTGTGAGTACCTGTGAGCCCAGGTTAGTTGATTCTGTAGGTGTCCTTGTGGTGTCCTTGTCCCTTTTGACTCCTACAATCCTTCCTCCCCTTCTTCTGCAGAAATCCCCACCCCCAAGCTCTACCTAGTGCTTGGCTGTGGGTATCTGCATTAGTTTCCATCAGTTGCTGAGTGCAACGTCTCTGATGAAAACTGGGACAGGCAATGGTCTATGAGTATAGTAGAATATCATTAGGAATCATTCCATTGACTTCTTTGCCTATTGTGTTTGACTCTATCCTAAGTCCCGGGGATATCCAGTCTCTGGGTCCTGGCCCTCCAGGTAGTATTATGGGTGGATTCCCTCTCATGGCATGGGTTTCAAGTGGACCAGTCACTGGTTGGCCACTCCCACAATTTCTGTGTGCTCTTTACTCCAGCACATCTTAAAGGCAGGGAAAATTGTAGGTTGAACATTCTGAGACTAGGTTGCTGTCTCTGTCCCTCCACTGGAAATCTTGCCTGGTTACAGATGACCATTTCAGGCTCTATATTCCCTACTGCTAGGAGTCTTAGCTGGGAACATCCTTGTAGATTCCCGCGAGTTTCCCTTGCACTAGATTTCTCGTTCATCCCAGAGAAGCCCTTGATTCTTTGTCTACCCTAGTACTCTCTCCCTCCATCCTCCTCCTACTTGGTCCTTCCTATTCCCATGTCTACCCCATTCCTCATCCTGACCCTGCTGCTACTATCTACCTGTGATGCCTATTCTATGTACCCTTCATACTGAGATTCATATGCCTCCAGCTTTGAACCCACCTTGTTACTTAGCTTCTCTGGTCCTGTGGATTGAAGCATGGTTATTCTTTACCTTATGACTAAAATCCACTTATTATTGAATGCATACCTGGGTTTAGGTCTTTCTGGGTCTGAGTTATCTCACTCAGGATGATCTTTTCTAGTTCCATCCATTTGCTTGCGCATCTTATGCAGTTTAGATACCATGGCGCTCAGAGGAAATCAAGAGTGAATGTGCCCTGTTGTCATGAGCACAGCCTGTCATGGACACCAGTGCCTTGGGTCTATGGGACTGCCAACTCTCCCTAGGTCAGGCTCAAGGAAATGGCAAAGTCTCTCCCTGCTCTGAGTACTGATGTTTTCAGTGTGTACTGAGAGCAGCTGCCACAGCAGGTCCCTCATCCTGGAAAACTGCAATGGAGATTGCTCCCCTATAGAAACCCCCTATTGAGTTTCCAGGTTGCCGGTGCATCTCCATCAGAGAGCTTAAGGTCCACTCTCTCCCAGCATGCTTCTGTTAGTTGGTTCTGTCTTTCTTTCTTAATCGTTCATTACCTCTAGTCAGGTTTACAAATGCAGCTGTTGAGGCCGTGGAAAGACAAGATGGCTATTAATAATAGCTATAGGTTGTACCATCTAGTTGTAACCCTAGGCAAGAAACTTTGCTAAAATCTTCATTGACACTCTCTTACCTAATCTTCATGATAACTCAATAAAGTATGCACTCCTACTTTCTTCTTCCCCAGAGGAGGAAAACAGAGTTGACAGCGGTGTAGTAAACTACAATTTACTATTACTAAATATCTGAAGTAGAAGCAAAGTTTGAACCTGAGTTTTTTGGTACCAGGGCCTGTAATTTTCTCTGCTTTCTTTATTCTCATATTTTTTTCTGTTTTTTTCCTTTTGTTACATGATCTCATAGTGATCTCAAATTTGGCAAGTAGATTATGCAGCTTACGCTAGCCTTGAACTCTTAATCATCCCACTGGGATTATTCATATGTACACTTATACCTAGCAGAGCCTACATTCTAAAATTTTTTTGTTGCCTTAAAAACCATTTATTATTTTGGATGAATAATTACTTTAATGAACATCAATTCGTTCAATGCCCACACATCATTAAATGACAGTCTCTTTATTTTTAGAAACTAAGAAAACATAAAGCAAGCATGATCTGGAGATATCAGATCAACATTTTATTGTGTAATGAACTTGTTTCTCAAATAATTAGACTGCTGAAGCAGCAGCATTTAATCACCAAAATACAGTTTTACAAGTCTTGTTTAGGTAGTTGACTAACTTGAAAACAAATACATTAAACACAACGCTTCATACCAGAAGACAAGTTTCTGTGATGCTCCAGAGAGCACAGAGCTAGCTCTTCTTGTCCTGTTGTGCTGAAGATTAATTAGTTTAAAAAAGATTCAATATCTTTTTCTTTTAATTTAAATAGACTTTTATAAAATATATTTGAATCATGATTCTTCCTGGATTCTCTGTATGTTCTCACCCACCTAAACCCACATTCTTTCTTTCTCCCTTGCTCAGTATGACACACAGGTCATGGCACGCTTGTTATGGGAGGCCTGCTCATTCTAAAGTTTTACAGCAAGCTTCTTCTTGTGTTCGAGAAGAATTCTACTTTATACCTCAAAATATGTTAAAGTTGTCTTGCATAAGCATTGATCATACATTGATATCAATATTTCCGTCAAGGAAATCATTTTGGGGGAGACCTATAGAGCAACTGATGAGCCCCCTGAAATTTCAAGTTCCATTCTAAACAGAGCTAAGAGAGTCCTGATTTTCTTAAGGCAAATGGCAGCCCTCAGACCCCTTAGGTCAGCTGCTACCTAGATGGCATTCACAGGAGCTCTGATGGCCAGCTGCTGGGCACCTGTCTCTTTCCTTCCCTGTGTTTCAGGGCAGCCGGGCAGCCATGGCCTTTCCATCTCAGCATCTACATCTTCCCTGGTGGTGAGCAGTGACTCTGGGGAACCACTGTGCTCTTCAGGTTTAAAAGCTCCCGTCCTCAGCACAGCCCTCCACTGTAGATACAGCCCCCTGGACTGTTTCACCACTTTGAACCGAAGGTAGTGCGAGCCAAACGCTGTCATGGGAATCTTTTCAAATCCGTCACAATTTGGGCAGAAATTCTTCCTAATCTGTAGAAATCAGAGGAAGGCGACATGCGTATGGTTCTTCAATTGAGTTTTGTTAGCTTCCCTTTAAAAGCAGCATTTAAAAGTTGTCTTTTAAAAGTAACTCTACTTTTGCCAAGGAAAGCTTTTCATTAAAGGCAGCATAGAGTTATTAAAGACTTCTGAAGAATAATAACTGGTCAAACAAAGCTGCTCATAAAAAACTACATTTTAAAAAAAATCTACAGAATTTCTCTCTTTCTTTCCATGCTAGGTAGCCTACATCATCTTCACGGGTAAGTGACTTAAATTGGTCTCTCTATGAAATACCATTGAGAACAAACCATTGTACTGTTTCCACAATGCCTCTATTAGAATCCTGTTCATTTCTGAGCTTTACAGTGTTTGTCACCTTCCACAAATACCAGATAGACACCAAAACTTGTTTTCATGTGAGCACATGCTGTTTCTCTCCTTTTCTTAAGGATTTTTATTTCTTGCTGTGAAAATCCCTAGTTGCTCTGAGAGTAACAATTGTATACAGCCCCTTGTAGACTAATGTACAAGCTGTGCAGCTATGCCTTGATTTAGGCACCACTTGTGCTAAGAAATTTAAGTATCTGCCTCATCATCTTGTACGTTTTTGCTTTCCCTTCATTAAATTTCCAGACAAGAGGTATACAGGTGAATCAAAACCATGAAGACTATCAGAATTTGAAAACTAAAGGATGATGGGCAGGTTAATTAAGTCTTGTTGGGGTCATGTCGTGTAGCAGGCAGATCTCAGAGTAAACATTAGAAGTAGCCGCTGAGAGAGACATGGAATCCTTATCGTTCTGTGACAATACATTCTGACCTAGATTTATATGTAATATCACCTACAAGCAGTTTGATGCAGTTAATTTTTAACCAACATGCTGTGGCCCATGGAAAATAAAAGACATTTTGACTGTTGATTGGTCAAATAAAAGTCACAGAACTTCACAGTGGTTTTTATTCTAAGTCTATTTAGATGGGTAAGCACTAGCTCCCTCTTCATTGGCAGCACAGTGCCAGGACCTAGCGGCATCTTACAGCCCCACAATTCATCATAAAAACTTAACAACTAGTTATTGGATAATGAGTAACTTGGTACATCAGTTTGGATTTCTCCAAGGATCAATATAGTCCTTAGATTGCTCTTGCAGTACTATCCCCATTGGCTTGGGGAAGAGATGATAAACTCAGATTTCTTAGAAAGCTTTCCAGTCTTCCCTGGTAGAAGCTGAAAAACACACAATATACTTTCTAGACAAATGAACGGAACCAATAGACTCACACAGGACTGATCTGATGGAAGAATCCCGATTGAAACTGTAGGGTATGTAGGGACTGGTGTAAGAGCGGAGTCGGGGCCATGGTAAGGAGTCAACTCTGAGATGCTTTCTAATAATCTGGAAAGAGGAATCGGAAGACACCATCAATCTGGAAGAAGGAGAGCATGTGGTCAGCCTAAGAAAATGCAGGGATCAGAAAATCAGAGTTAAGAAAGGGACAGAGCTTGGCTAGCAAGAGGGTGTCACAGACTGATCCTTAGATCAACTATGCCCCTGGTTCTTTGTGTGCTGTGAATGGCCTCTGGTTCTGGCAGGCTGCAAACGATGTGAACAGGTGACGCCCCGGGACTCTGCGTACCCAGCACCAGGCTTGTGGTAACTTGAATGGTAATCTTGACTCAGCCGATATAGGTATTCAAAAGTTCCAGGACCAAAAAATGAAAAACAGCTTACTTTTCATTTGTTCAAGAAGGACATGGGACAAGAATGAGTGGAGAGAATGAAAATATTGTGGATCCTTAGTGTTATAGCTCCAAGTCTCTTCAATTCATTTTCAGAAATAAACATTGTTTTTGTTTTTCCTTTAGGAAAGATCATCGTCGTGAAACACCCAGTGGTGTTCCCAGCTTAACTGACTGCTTCAACACTAATGTGCCCATCTATGATTAATGCTGACAAATACCCTATGGTCCAGATTCTGCTATGCACACCCTCCAATCAAATTATTATGGCCCTTAACCAGCATATAACATTACAGATAGGGTCCAGTTATTATTTAATAGAAATGTTTGAAAACAACAATAAAACTCACAAGACTTCTGTTGTGGCTAAAAAGAAGTTTGAGGGCTTGGCTGAAGCATTTGTATCAATCTTCAGCCCATAAGTATAAAAGATTAACTGAACCAATCAGTTTGTAAAGAAGCTATTTGCCTCCATTTTAGAAGGCATTTCCCATAACTTGGCTTCATTGTTTTGGGTCTGTGGCAGGGCAGCTCTTCATGGTGGAGAAAAGTCACTTCCAATACGACCAAGAAGCAAAAGAGAAGGACGGGAGAGGGCATGAGGACCCCTCTCCCCTCTTAAAGAGCATTTTCCCCAGTGACTTAGACTTCCCATTAGGTTACCTCCCAAATATTCTATCATTTGTCAATAACATCACTCTGGAGATTAAGTCTTTAATATACAAGCCTTTGAAGGGGTATTCAAAATCCAGATTATGGAAGTACTCTTCCGGTCTGTGCTTGGCCCTTTTGTCTGTGGGGACTGCCCCTCTCCGCATCTTCAAGTTGCTTGCTCCTCTGGGGCTCAGTCTATGAGGCAGATGGTGAGCCTGCTTTGTTTCACCAGATATCTCGGGGAGGGCAGCAGTTTCCAGTTTCCATTGTGTTTTTCGCTGCTCTTCACAGCACCAGGATTCCGTGAGGAAATTAAACTCTCTAGCCGTGTTCGACTCTGAAATTCTCCCGTCTTCAAATATGTGAACAGAATGAGAATTTCCATTTGTTTAATTGGTTAATACCTCAAGTACATTGTGCCCTGCTAGTGTCCCTGTTGATGGTGTCACACTTGGCAGATATACCTTTTATCTTTTTTTTTTCCATAGGTTTGTTCTTTTTCTTCTTTCTTTGTGTGACTGGTATGTACTGGCTTTTTGAAATCCCCAGAGCTAGTTGTGAATGATGTATGAAGTGAAAAGTCTTTACTCACAGCACAGTAGGGGTACAGAGAGTGCGGCACGTTCACCGCTGGGTTGAGACTTCGGCTGTGCTGGAGGGATGGGCATCCTGCGTTCACCCTATGCTGCCTCAAAATCCCTGGAGCTCTGGATTCAGCGGCAAGGAGCAGAGTCCTGCAGAAAAGCAGAGCGATGAAATGCGTTAACCTCCAAAGATCCTTCATCACGCTGTCCTTCTGTGTTCAGTGCAGGCAGGGCTCCTCAGCTCCCTGGAATTTTAACAAAGAGACAAGAATGGAAATCTGAGATTTAATTCAAGATAGGGACAATTAACCCACATTCTGGGATGTGGGGTGGTGGTGGTCGGAGGCTGGCGACCGTCAACATGCTGCAGCACTATTGGCTTGAAGAGGACATGCTCCTCTCATCCTGGGTTGAGAGAAACTCTCATGACCTGAGAAATCAGGAGAAATGGTCTGGACTTGTGATCTACAGTCTTTTTCTCTCAGGAAACGCTGAAGTCAATGAGAATCAGCTCAGCTCTCTGAGAATTGAGTATATTCATGATACACCATCTAAATTCTTGTCTGTTTCCAGATGAGATGCTCAGTTATCCAATAAATATATTTCTTTAAAACTTAAAATGTGTATCTCTCTCTCTCTCTCTCTCTCTCTCTCTCTCTCTCTCTCTCTCTCT